GTAAACTCAACAACATGCGTTCATAACACTGTGGCCTTAAAAGGACAACACAATAGGCGACGTTTTGGGCAAATCGCCCTTCTTCATATAGCACGCATAGGATTCAAGTAGGGTGCTGTTGCGATAAAATGAGCAATAGCGCGCCGATGCTGTGTGGATCGCGAGATATGGTGACTGCTTTGGGGAGACCTTCATCTCGCGGTGGATGTGTCACGCTTGGCTGAAGACGTTGCTGCTGCTGCTGCTTGTTGCTGACGATGATGCACGAGGGCACACGTGGTTGACGGACATTCTTTCTGGAGCTCGACGTCAATATTCGTCTCATGCCGGCGCTAAGTAAACGCGACGTGCACTTTAGGATATATAATATGAGGCGTATGAGGGCATTAATATCACCTCCGTGCAGTGCGCCTTCCCTAAGCGGCACCGTCCGTGTCGCTTAATTCCGCAGCACGCGGCCCGATGGGAGAGTTTTGGCCTTTTGCGGTCGAGTGGTTTTCAATGCGCGACCCGCCGGTCCGCTAAACGCAGGTGTGCGGCGGCTCTGGGTAGTAAGGTGTGCGCGTGTGTGCGTGTGTATGTGTGTGTGTGTGCGTTTTATCATCATCATCATCATCATCAGCAGCAGCAGCAGCAGCCATGGTCAATCCACTGCGAACTATCAGACGCCTTTCATTCACGTGTACCTTTGTATGGCACGATTTTTTGGCATCAGTTAAAGATAGCTCACATTGATTCTATTTACATAAAAAGATCCGAATATATGAAGGAGCGGTGGCGCAGTGATCCGTGCACTGAGCTGTGAACCCCGACGACCTGAGTTCAGTTCCCCGTTAAGGCTGACAGCAGTGGCGAGGGATACCTGGACCGAGAGTGGAACCTCATTAACCCCTTCAGCAACGCTCACTGACCAGTGCGGTGAAGTATGGTCAAATAACCCCCACGACATCGGCAGGTCTTCATTCAGCAGTGGATTGACAAACGCCTGTATACTACAATATGTACGTTTAGTTATTTAATGGAACGTGCAGCACACTCTAAAGTCAAATTGGACAATCAGTGGTCTAAGTGATTCTGGAACTTGCAAAATAAAAAAATAACTCGTAACATATCCGTCAATAACACTGCCTTAAAAATATAATAATAGGCGACGTTTCGTGCAATGGCCTTTCTTCACAGCACATAAGCGAGGCCAGAGCGGTGGGTGTGCATGTTCATCTTAGAAAAAAGCAATGCAGTTTGAGCTCTCGAACGCGTTTTCGAACGGTGCCGCGTGCCTGTTCGGCGCGATGGTCACGTGTTTTTGCCCAAGGACGCCTCACTGAGAGTCCCACGACCCTCTTTTCAGCAGGGTCCTGCCAAATGTTTGCAGTGGGGGCGGGGGGGCGATGATTATCACTTATATTCCAATTGAGTAATCTTCATCCATAATACAGGGTTTGCTTGGGTTTAGATCGCGTAAATATAAATGTGTCGTTAAACCCGCCACCACTCGACACAGCCAATTAGTAAAGTTTGGCAGCTCAATAGAACATGGCAACTTGTTAAAACCTTACTAATTGGCTGTGTCGGATGGTGGCGGGTTTAACGACACATTTAAATTTACGCGATCTAACCCAAACAAACCCTGTATTATTGATGCTATTGGTCGCGAAAGGCTGCGTGTTAAACTGAGTAATCTTCACATGTGTAAACGAAAACAACCGTTGCACCATGACGCCGGTCCATAATGGCTTCCTCTTGCGAATGACTTCACGGGAGCCGTCAAGGTTTGCTGTGTAACAGACAACGGTGTTCGCCTTGTGGCATCGTTCTCTGCTCTGACACTGGCGAGGCCGGGCCCTGAAGAAGGCTGCTATCTCTGGCGTAGGCCAATCAGACAATACGTATATTATTTATCAGAGAATGGTGTTGCTTGCATGCTCACCACAAGTACGTGTGGTTAATGCAGACTTGATTCCTTCCAACAAGGTTGCTATTTGGTGTTTGGACGTCTTAACACCTATTTGATTGCCAGACAGGGTAAAACCTGTTCTTATTCTTTTTCACAACGCGTAAGTAATTGTACGGTTTAAACACACCGCAGTGTTAATCAGGGCGGCCGGTGGAATCGAGCCGTGAACCTCTTCGACAAGCGGCGAACTCGCTACCGCTGGTGGCGTGTCACCGCCCTGAAGATGCGTGATGTCCGACGTTTCGCTCCACGTGCTTGGAGCGTCTTCAGGGATGAACGCATCGGAAATGTTGCCGGACAGCGCACGGCCCAAGCCGAGACCACACGAGCGAGCTGTACGGCACAGCCGCGACCAGCCACGCGTGAGTCCATCCTCCCTTTTCATCGAGGAAGTGAAACGTTAAGTTCGGTGGCTCACGAACGCGGCGCGCGATTCCATAAACTGCCCGGGTTCAATGAGAATGCGCCGTCGCTCGTGCCATTGCTGAGGATTTCGGTGAGAACGCAAATACAATGCAACGTGGATTCATCTCGCGTCTAAATGCAACTGCATCAACAGACGCGGTACACACACCACGGGGCCCGTTTCTTCTACGGGCAGTCGACCGTAAGGTAGGTAGGTGTGTGGGGGGGGGGAGGTCTCTCACTGTGAGTCTATGAGCCTTCGTGACAGTGTTTGGGTCGCAATGCAAAACAACGCGAAGTGGAATCACGCAGTGTCAGTCATGGGCAGAGGAAAACGTTAAATGTGATTTACTCCTGAACTTCAACAGGGGTAGGCAGTCAACGGCACGGACGACTGGGGCAAGGCGACGTCGCATCACGTGGGGTCGCGGGTTAACACGTGCCTGACTAATTAGTATTTAGTGACACTGGTGCCATATCAACCGTATGTAAGTAGGAATCTAAACTCTCTGGTTCTTTCGGTAAAGTCGCGGAGATAGGAAAATAGAATAAAAGAAAACACGACGTTTCGGTCGCAACACAAGCGTACGTCTTCACTGGTCGCAATGTCGTGTTTTTTTAATCTACGTAACTTTGATCAACGAACCAGAGAGTACGTATGTAAGTACTGTCCGTTGAACTTCTTTCACACCGTACGTAGCCAACCGTGCTAATCGGAGGTGCGGGGGAAATTACAGCAACACGAAACACAACAAGCAGCGCACGTAGAACGATGCAGGCTGCCACTCACTTTGGTGAGAACACTCGGTGAGAACACTTAGTGAGAACACGTGGTGAGAACACGTGGTGAGAACGCGTGGTGAGATCACGTGGTGAGAACACTTGGTGAGAACACTTAGTGAGAACACTTGGTGAGAACACGTGGTGAGAACACGTGGTGAGAACACGTGGTGAGAACGCGTGGTGAGAACACGTGGTGAGAACACGTGGTGAGAACACTTGGTGAGAACACTTAGTGAGAACGCGTGTAAGAACGCGTGGTGAGAACACGTGGTGAGAACACGTGGTGAGAACACGTGGTGAGAACACTTGGTGAGAACACGTGGTGAGAACACGTGGTGAGAACGCGTGGTGAGAACACGTGGTGAGAACACTTGGTGAGAACACGTGGTGAGAACACGTGGTGAGAACACGTGGTGAGAACACTTGGTGAGAACACGTGGTGAGAACACGTGGTGAGAACGCGTGGTGAGAACACGTGGTGAGAACACGTGGTGAGAACACGTGGTGAGAACACTTGGTGAGAACACGTGGTGAGAACACTTAGTGAGAACACGTGGTGAGAACACGTGGTGAGAACACGTGGTGAGAACGCGTGGTGAGAACACGTGGTGAGAACACGTGGTGAGAACACGTGGTGAGAACACGTGGTGAGAACGCGTGGTGAGAACGCGTGGTGAGAACACGTGGTGAGAACGCGTGTAAGAACGCGTGGTGAGAACACGCGTGCCCCCCCACCATCCACGTGTAGGTACATCACCCCACCCATCAATCTTACAGGCACCACAAATAGAGTTGCACCAAGGTGGCTAAAACACGATCCAGCCAATGTCTCCTAAACTTGACACACGAGACTGGTCGCACTTATCACGCTACTGCTTGATAACCCCCCTCCCCTCCACGCCTTTCGGTCATGGGGATTGTTTGACCATACTTCACCACGCTGGTCACTGCGGACTGTTGAAGGCGGCACTCTCCCCCAATGACAGATGTCACTTCCCACTCATGTTAGCCAACCGTGGCCAGAAGTCGAACTCAGCCCACCCCGTTAATAGCGCAATGCGCTAACCACTGCGCCACCGCTCCCCCCCAATAACAAATGCTACTTTCGACTAGATCCACGTGTATACCGCGTCTCTATACGCGCACTATCAAAGAGGGCCCTGCCTGTATTTGGTATCATCCAGTGACTGTATGGATGGTGCTGCTCCTCCACGGATCATCGTGCGCTTCGATCGCATCATTTCAGATATTCACGGTTGCGATGTGGCAACTCCTGAAATCGTCCACTGGCTCGCTTACACAACCTCGACATGAACACGTAAACAATGCCGACCAACACACACCACCACCCCCCCACCCTCTCGCTCTCTCTACCCACTCGACGACAACACGAGAGTGCGTGCGCGAGACGCGACGGGCGATTCTCACGGCGTGGCCGCGTGGCCGCTGCTGTGGATGCAGCCCCGTGGAGCGGCGCCGCACGGGGCTGCTGCTCGCACGGCTCGGGCTGGCTGGCGGCGAGCGAGTGCCGGGTTCTGTGCGAGATGTAGACGAGGAGAGACGCGCTCAGGGGCTACACATCCCTCCACCCCTCCCCACACTGAATTGCCCTGCTGGCGTACCCCCACCACCACCAGCACAACGTGTTCAAGACGGCGGAACACAACAGCAGCAGGGAAGAAGGGAGAGATTTTTTTTTAAAGATCAGCGGGGCGGGGGCACTCGGGAGGGAGGCGGGGGTTCGATTCGCGAGAGCGAGAGGCGGGGGAGGGCCCGGAGCTGCTGCTGCTGCTGGTGGTGGTCGTGGTGGTCGTGGTGGGGAGGGTTCGGAGTGGAGAGGAGATGAGTTAGCGGAGTGCGTTCTGCGCGAGTGGAGCTGGAGAGAGCGCCAGGCGTCTCGCGAAGCGCGCGTGCCCACCAGATTCGGCCCGCCGCTCGCCTCGCCCGTGGCTCATACACCTCACGCCCCATTATCCACAGCCGAGGTGCCACTGCTCAATTGTTCCACCGATTCCTGCTTTGAACAAACTCCGCACGGTGTCGCCTCGTGTTTGTTTCGTACGGGGGGCACCAAGCGCGCTCCGACACCGCAGCCGTGACCGCTCCGGTCATGCGGCCACCCCTGGCTCGACTTGCCCTGCTCGATCCGTGAAGCGCGCCGGAGGGTTCTGAGATGTCTTGCGCGACCAACATGGCACAGAGAGGCTGCATGGAGCTGAGGTATGTGTTGCGAGAGCGCGGGTGAAAGTCAAAGTCGCTCAATGTGGTCGCGCGCGACGGTTCTGACTGGCGGGTTTTAACGGCGCCGCGAGTTCTTTGGGGACGCTTTGGAAATTTACGCATTTTTCTGTAAACTCGCATAGCGCAAGCAATTGGTACAGTCGAGTGTAACAGAGCGATTGTGTATGTTACGTTGTGAAGACGGTCCGTTTGTTACAGAGGAATCTGTGGTAAAGTTGAGAAAACCCCGTTTGGGTGACCTATGCTTGTGGGGGCTCTGTGCGTTTTGCGAGGGACATGCACCGTCTGCGAGGCTGGATAGCGAGCGTCAAAACCAGCGCAGTGTTTGAAGCTCGGGCGAAACTTTCCTCCTCATGGTAAAATCGTCACGTGGGTTTTTTTTTTGTCATGAGCGTAAAATTGTCGCGAATTCGCACTAAGTTGAAGTTTGGTTCTCTTTTGCTGACGCGTAATTTTGTTTTGGGATTTACGAGCACCTCCGACTGAGTTGTAATGTAGTCTGTTGACCAATAATCTCGGAAATGTTTTTTTTTATAAAACATAAATTATATGTACACATCTACGAATGCGTACCCGTGTGTGTTTGCATGAATACGGTTGTCGTGCGTAATGTGTAATGTTTATGAACAAGCGTGCTGCACTTTATACATAGAGCAAAGCGATACACTTCATACGGATGCACGGACTCACTTTAAGAGTACATTTGAGGACTCACAACACATTGCACGTGTTCAGCTGGTGTCGTGTCCGAACTCATGCTTAACAGATGATAAGTGCACAATTTATATCCGAGTAAATTGTCCCTTCTCGTCTCATTCACCATCTTTCTCGCCCATTTCCCAAAGACCAAACTCTATTAATGAAAGTAGATGCTGTCACAGGATTCGCCTGATGCACACCATAGCTAAAGTCTCGTTAAACAAAATATCAGCCACGTGCGTGTTTGTCGTTGTCTTTTGCGACGGTTATCTGAACTGGTCCTGGGCCTCCCCTAGGTCGACTCAGCCTCAAATTAGTACCTGGTGCGATGTGTAAAGCATCGCCACTATTGAAGACAAAGGCGACCGGGCGTGGTGTTGGCCACCCATCATCTCGTGTGCCGTGCCGGCCTTCATATATGCTCACTAACAGCACTTGCCCCAACAGTCTGTTAAGGTCATGGGGGGGGGGGCTTGTGGGGATTAGTGGCCCCACGGTGGGTGTTTTATGCCCCGAACTCCGGCGGTTGAAGTTCGATATCCAGCTCCGGCCAACATCAGCGCCGTCTGGGAATCACAGCTTACTTCGAGAATCACAACTTACTTCGAGCATGATTTTTTTCACGTCCATTCGGTCCAAAAATTAATACCCCGTGCGGTGTACTAATATCAGCACCGGGGAGACAAAGGCGGCCAGGGGTAGTGCTGACCACACCAGTCCCTCGTGCACCGTGCCGTACTCAATAGGTGCTCGCTAACAACACTTGCCCCGACAGTGTTTAATGTAGATCTGTGCGTGCGTGCGTAATCACACACGCGTACTAAGATTGTCCGCACATGTGTACTTGCCTGCGTGTGCTCTTGCTCCCACTTTTTGCGACGCGTGCGAGTGTACAATACCACGTGTACGCGCAGACACACGCGTACTCTCGTCCACACTTGTTTGCTCTGCGTAAATGAGTGTGCCTATAATCAGACGCGCACACACATGAACGCGTGTACTCTAACCCGCCACCGCACTCGTTCTGTGCCGGCAGCGCCATCCGCCAGGAGATCTGGCCCTTCCCGGCGGCCGACGGGTCCCTGCAAGGCGCGCAGGACATCATGAAGCCCACGGCCAGCTACCCCTCGGCCTTCCTCAAGGTGGACGCCGCCTACGTTCGTCACTGGCAGCAGCAGCTGCTTCCACACGGCCTCCCGGCGGCGCAGGACCCGGGACCACCCCGCGCCTCTCTCGACCTCCACCTCCCAGACTTATCCGAGCCCGGCCCTCTGGCCATGGGCGGCAGCGAGGCCACGCAGGAGGCAAAGGTGGCAGCAGCAGCAGCGGCAGCGGCGGCCGCAGCTGCGGCAGCAGGGCCCACTCTGCTGCAGCTCCAGTTGCAAGCTTGCAAGCCGACCCTGCAGTCGTGCATGCCCGGCTCCGCCGCCGCCGCAGCAGCAGCAGCCGTCGTGCCGATGCGTGGCGGCCAGCAGGTGCTGTTTGACATGGCCGGGTCGGGGCCAGCGTGCGCCGGCCACAATGAGGGCCCACCGAGCGTGCGGACTGCGGGGCCCTTCGAGAGGGCCTTCGTGCAGGCCAGCAGCCCGTTCACGGCGGAGGAGCTAGACTACTACCTGTACGGGCAGCAGCGCATGGAGATCATCCCCGTGAATAACCACGGCGACGACACCAGCAACCGTGAGAGAGCAAATGCTGAGAGCGCGGAGCGATGCACGGCGCGCCTGTCTGTGTCGTCTGCTGCGTCTGTGTGCGTGACGGGGAGCGGTGGCGCAGCGGTTAGCGAACCGCGCTTAGAAACCCGGCGACCCGAGTTCGATTCCCAGCTCACGGCCAACACCGTTGACGATTATCTGAACCGGTCGTGGGTCTTCCCGAGGTCGACTCAGCCTCAAATGAGTACTCGGTGTGGTGTGTAGACATCAGCACTGGGAAGACAAAGGCGGCCGGGCGTGGTACTGGCCACCCACCCCGCCCGAGTTCCGTGTCGGTTTCAATAGGTGCTGGCTAACAGCACTCGCTCCAAAAGTTTGTTAAAGGTTATATATAGTCAATATTTGCACCTGGTGAGAGGTGTAAACATCATCACTGGGGATACAAAGGCGGCCGGGCGTGGTTCTGGTCACACCAACCCTTACCGCGCTCGTCCCAACAGTCGATATCACAACAGGAGGAACTTTGTCACTGATGGGGAGTGCAGTGGTTAGTGCACTACGCTCCTCACCCCGCCGGTCCGATTCCCTGCAACGGGTAACATCAGTGGGCGAGGGACATCTGAACCTGTCCTGGATATTCCCCTAGGTCGACTCGACCATAAAACCTGTACCCAGTGCTGTGTGTAAACAGCTGCGCCGCTAATCGCACCACTCCCACGTATACCGCTCCGGCCGTCACAGACGCGCACTTGCAAACGACATTTGCCCCAGCGGTTTATGTCGGCTGTAACAACAGGGGGAATCTTGGTATGCACGCATGTGAATATATCTACTTTATGCGTTTTTTGGTGTGTACATGTGTATTATGTATGTGCAGTATATATGTGTGTCTGTGCGCGTGTACAGATGTGTTTATGTATGCAAGTGTTTGAATGTGTGGGTAGGGGGAGCGGTAGTGCAGTGGTTTGTTTTGCGCTACGAAACCCCGGCGACAAGAGTTCGATTCCCACTCACAGTCAACACGGGTTACGATGATCTGAACCCAATGCTGGGCCTCCCCTACATTGATTCACCCACACCCTCGCGCGCGGTGCCGGCCTTAATAGGTGCTCGCTAACAGCACTTGCCCCAACAGTCTGTTGAAGAGCACGTTGTGTAACAGACCTTGTTTGCGTGGCCACGCAACGTCAACGTGGTGGTGGTGAACGGTGGCTCTGTGGGTCCCAGCAGTGCACGACGCACGCGGACGCTTGAGTTCGATTCATGGCCACGATGTTTTTTTTACGCGCAATCAGAACTTGTCCAGCCAACATCGGTGATGAGTATCAGAAACGGTCCTGGGACTCCTCTAGGTCAACTCAGGCTTAAATGAGTGCGTTACTTAATTCGGTGTGGGACGCGGGTGCTTACCACACTACCCCCTCGTGTAAGATGACGGCCTTCATAGGTGCTCGCTAACAGCACTTGCCCCCAAAGTCTGTTAAGGCTATACAGGGGATATTTGCCTTTGTAAGCGTGTGTGTGTGGGGGGGGGGTGTTTCTGGACGTGGGGAGCGGTGGCCCAGTGGTTAGCGCATTGTTCTACAAATCCGGCGACTCAGCGTCGATTTCCGCTTACGGACAACACCAGTGACAATTATGTGAACCGCTTCTGGGCCTCCCCTAGGTCTACTCAGCCTCAAATGAGTACCTGGTGTGATGTGTAAACTTCGCTTTTCGGGAGACAAAGGCGGCCGGGCGTGGTGCTGGCCACCCACCACCTCGCGTGCCGTGTCGACCTTCATAGATGCTCAATAGCAGCATTTGCCCAAAAAGTCTGCTAAGGTTATAGGGGGATCTGTGCCTTGTGTGTCTGGACAGCTAACTGTGTGTACACAGTGTGCGTAATGCGTCTCGCAATGAGAAGGTTTGAGGGTTGAAGTTCCAGTCCCGGTCTCGGCAACACTTGGTCCTTCAAATCACTCACAACAATTCCGTGCCACTTTGCAAAGTCAACGCCGGTTGCCCTATGGATAGTCGCTTGGAATTTCCACGCGAATATTCGAGAAGGTCTCCAACTGATGATCACCGCGCTGCGCTTGCTTAACTCGAGTTGTAACTTTAGCTTTGTGGTATGTACGTGTACATATATATGCATTTCATTACGTGAATGAAAGACAATTATTTTTTCGTGGAGTGCTAGCGTCCTGTTTTAGCGCACTGCGCCACAGCATCAGAATCTCTATTTAGACTGGAGCAATTAACGCCATCTGCGTTAATGGAGCCTATTAAAATTAAGATTGTGATCTCAGCGTGTGTCTGTACACGTGTTCCACGCGTGTGCGTGTTCACGTGGTGCACGCGTGTGCGTGTTCACGTGTTCCACGCGTGTGCATGTTCACGTGTTCTACGCGTGTGCGTGTTCACGTGGTCCGCACGTGACGCAGACGGCGTTAATTTCTTAGCGCGTCACGTGGGACGTGTTTAACAATCATCGGGCGCGTACAGCGCAGAGCGAGTTCATTAGTATTTGAATGGGTGGGGGAAATTGGTACACGCGGAGAGACGTAGCGTGGGGGTGGGGGCGTTGAAAGGACTTACCTCCTTCTGATCGAGAGTGGAGTGATTGTTTTGTGTTGGATGTTAATATAACGTCAACTGTGAAACCGGAGTACATGTGCATTTATTGTTATTGTTAATCCAGATTTAGTCATCACCTTCATAATGTATGTTTCATACTTCGCCTTCGATGCAACAGTACATATGGACGCACCAGAGCAACGGGGCCTTTGGGATAATAACATTAATAACTATGAATAATACTTATTATTAATGATACTTAATCATGCCTATTATTCATGCAGATAAGGAAGCATTCGCTGACCAAATGCTGTGCTCAAAAACAGCAGAGTACGGACAATATTTACACGGAAAATGGTAATAAACTAAATTGAAAAGTTGAAATGTGCTTCACACGACTCTGCTATACGCGTCGTGTACGTTACATTTGACACGATCGTTTCTGTAAATTGGAAAATTGGCATTAAAAGGTTAGTCTTAAATGCGCATAATCCAATGAAATATTGCACCGCTTGTATTCATATACCGTGTTTACATCCGAGCTTAATTATAGAGCCGGAATTGTCCCCAACGGCTGTTGCGGGGAATAATTTCAACACTCCACACCCCTGCATCTCGTCTTAATTTGTCGTATAATTGCTATAAATATGTTCTTAGTATTATTAAAATATACGGTGCGATAATAGAGAATTGCCACGGATATGCGTACTTTGTAGTTGTAGTGGTCGTGCCTTACGTCGATAATATCTTATTTCAAGCGCAGCCTTAGCAGCGTTCCGGAAAATATCGAGTGAAATAAATGTTAAGCCCCTGGTTGGCACGAATCCTTACCGCATTCCTGTGCCTAGAAACAGAATTGTCACTCGACTGCGTCGTTTTAAATTGACGTGAATATCGCGCATCAACCCAATTCCCAATTGAACTCTCACGGTAACTTGGGGCCGGTACACGGCATCCGTAGCTTAGGCGTGTGTAGTCTGGCCCCCAAAAATACATCTACATGCACATATATTTCCATATTTGTCCGTCAAAAAGGAATGAACAATAATTTAAGGAATTGTGATTGACAGATGATACATTTTATTTATTTCGGCAGGAAGGGCCCAATGAGCTACCAGGCTCAATTTCATGGGTATCCGGTGGCGGTACAGATGTGGCACAGTGCAGGTCTTAATTAACAATGAATACGTAAATTTCCACACATTCCGGGATGATTGTTTAAAAGTATTTTGTCGGAATTTTGCGCATGTGTATAAGCGTTACAACTCGCCTCTAATTTTGTTCAAATTTAAGTATATATTTATTTTTTTCCCGTAAAGAATTTGCGTAATACATAGGTTACATTTTAAATTTTGGAACAGAGAAAGAGAGAGAGGGTAAAAAATCCGACACGTTTGTTTTTATACATTAAGTATTAAACAGAATGGTTTAATAGTGAGTTTAATTTAAGTGAACAAATTATCTGGTGATACGATGGAATTTGGTGCGCTGGCACCGTTTACTAAACAGAACTCAACAACACGTCAACTTCCAAAGGAAATATTAAAAAAATATTCGGTGAAGTTTACGTGCGATTAAGACGGGCAAATGGCCGAAATGTCGCTAATTTAAATGACAACAATAATGACATTTTAAATATATACACGGTTAAACTAAATGTTCTAAACTTGTAGCGCATTATTAACAGTTGTGAATAATTCCATATACACGGAAAACATGCCTCGTACAATGCACACACACCGCACGTGTACAGTTTATGAATGAACAAAACTTACTAGCAAGAGGTTATACTGTTTACCGTCAGCCTACATATATGTGTGTTCTCCAAATGAGTTTATTGTTGTGTCTAATTACATTTATGGGCTGTGTTGTGTAAGCCGCAAAACTCTTTACCGCTCTAAATTCCCATTGTTGGCGTCATCTTACGGCAGTCAAAGCTCAGGATATTCACCTGATGATTTTTTTTTGTAATATGCAGGGAATCAAATTACAACGCAAACTTATTATTTTTTTTGCGGCGGTGGGGGTTGACTTTCCAAGATTATAATAGCTTCCCGCGGACATTAATCATCTTCTAATGAGGCCGGTCTGCAAGACTAACGGCTCTGTCGTTCAACAGACAAGTTAAGTGTAGTTTCTTTTTTACAATTATAATTAGCGGAAAAGTGCGGCGGGGGGGGGGGTGGGCGAAAGATGTTAGCTGCTGCGTAAAGTACGAACAACCGCTTATGACAGCGCCAAGTCAAGCGCGGGCCCATAGCGATTCAATCTGCTGCAGGGCACGGAGCACTGAACCTAATACGAGTGGCGCGCATGCCAATTCTTAACGTCTGCTTATCGAGCGTTGCTTTTTGTTACGTGAATGCACACATATATACACAGTGTATATGTGGTGAAGCGGTAAGGTTAAAAGTAAGCGCGCTGCGCTACGAACCAGGCGACCCGAGTGCGATTCCCGCTCACGGA